TTCTTCTTCTTCATGTTTTACCAAAAAACGTTTTTATGATGATCCTATGTTGGGTATGAGGTGGGTAGAACTCAAAGCCCCCAAACTAGAACCTAGTCTGGCAAGCATAGTCGTGTGCTCTGGCACTGTTCCGTCGCATGAAACACTGCATCCGATGGTTTGCAACATCGAGTTCATTGCAACCGGGAGCCTCGTCAGGGAGCCTCGTTGCATGCAACAAGATCCGTAGTACGCATCAGAGAGCTGGGTTGTATGTAGTAGGAACTCCCATAGTATGCGCTTCGAAGTCTCGTCGTATGCAACGGGGACTCGTTTGCAACAAAAAATGCAGTTGTATGCAAAAGGGCCAGTTGTATGCAACATTGATTCTCATAGTATGCAACAAAACATTGATTCTCATAGTATGCAACAGAAGTTCCTATGCAGTCCAGTCGTACGAGTGAGAAAGTTGTAGGTGGACAGTATGATCAGACGGTAAGTTACAAAAATATGCAAGTTGAATGAGCATTACACTTTTATGTGAAACTACAAGTTTGTACAACGTTTTGGGAGGATGATCAATGTGGAATTTGATATTCAAGATGAGGTGTGCATCCCACACAGAGTGAGCAGTTTTTTGTCATTTTATATATAAAGCTGAATGTCTGTTTGTATGTCTGTATGTCTGTCTGTCTGTCTGTACGTATGTATGTACGTATGTTCCGAATAGATTTATTCTGAACCGATCCGGACCAAACTTGGCACACATACACTTCAAGGCCGGGCGGGTTTCATAGGCTACTTTTCGTCATCGATCGATATCGATTTTATCGATTTTTATCGAGTTTTTTGCTGAGTTCACCTACGGGGCTGGGAGTTTGCACAGAGGGGTAGTCGAGCATGCTGATTACGAATACGGTATTAGGTTTTGGAATTATCCATTAGCTTCATCGATTTTATCGATTTTTTGTAAAGTTTGACCTGCGAGGCTGGGAGTTGGCGCAGGGAGGTAATCGAGCATGCTGATTACGAATACAATATTAGTTTTTGAAATCGTCCATTACTTTTATCGATTTTATCGATTTTCTGCAAAGTTCAAGCTACGCTGGGAGTTGGCACAGTGGGGTAACTGAGCATTACGGATTTAGTAACTGTGGTATTTTTTGCTGATTCAAACGAGGTAATTTTTATTTCTTATCCTCGGTCCTGCATCAAAATATTTCTCCTGTCATCTGGGACTGGATTTCGGTAAAGGATAAGCGAGTGCGCTGTTTACAAAACAGCCTCCCTAAAATAATTCGAGTGCTAATGCCATGATCAAACGTATTAAAAGAGTACACTGATCATTTAAAATCACAACAATTTTGATTTTTTGGCGAAGTCTGGATTTAAAGATTTTTTGGCGTATTCTGAAAAATGTTTTATTTATGAAACACTTATATATATATAAATATCTTTATATATATATATCTTTATATATAAAGCTGAATGTCTGTTTGTATGTCTGTATGTCTGTCTGTCTGTCTGTATGTATGTATGTACGTATGTTCCGAATAGAAATTTTTATTTCTGAACCGATCCGGGCCAAACTTGGCACACATACACTTCGGGGCCGGGCGGGTGTCATAGGCTACTTTTCGTCATCGATCGATATCGATTTTATCGATTTTTATCGATTTTTCTGCTGAGTTCACCTACGGGGTAAGAGTTTGCGCAGGGGGGTAATCGAGCATGCTGATTACGAATATTTATTTATTTATTTATTTATTTATTTGGTACGCCCGAAGGCGTGCTTCGTACATCAGGAACAATTATCAAAACAACCTGTGTAAGCTAGACAAAACACAAAAAAGAAGGAAATAACAACATCGTGGTATTGTTATAATAAGTCGGTCATCCGCATCTAACGCCATTTACTTTGCACTCAGTGGAAGGAGGAGCATTCAAAGCTCAGAGACGCAAACAAAGGCAAGAAAGAAAGCTAAAAATCAAAAATATTGATCAACCCTCACCCCCCCCTCAAGACAACCACCTAAAGCCCTGGGGACGGACCGGAAGCTCGGCACCCGGCTATACTGGCAGTCCCCGCCAGACTAGCCGAAACGGGTGCACTGGCAGGGGGCAGCCAGTACCATCGCCCGCCGATACCCCTCTCCTCCCCACAGACCCTCAATGGCTGACCGAAGAGGCGAAAGAAGGCAGAGCAATATCAAAAGTATTCACAGGAGTAGCATCACAACCATTGTAGTACAAAGAAAAAAAATTCAGAAAGACCAGATCACAACCTTCAAGAAAACTCATTCGAAGATCCTAAAGAGGAAAATAAGAGGAGAGACTATTTAGTCAACAGAAAAATGCTGAACCCGAACTGTGAGGTTCATGAAAAAGGTAGGAAAAGTGAGAGAGGTAGTTTAACCTCGCTAACTGCAGGTCGGAAAACTATACTATACAACTAGTGAAACTAGTATGGAGAATGATCGACACAACGAACAAGAGAGCTATTCTACGTCCCGTATGCCTAGCACTTGTAGAATGTCCATTTTACGAATGGCGTTTTTGAAGCATGCTGAATTTTTTAAGCGTAAAAGAGTAGTTGGTTAACGTTTCAGCCATTTGGCGACTCTGAAAAAGAACGAACTCGTACACCTGAGACGGTTTGAGCTGGGTAACTTTAGTCGAAAGGCAAAATCGCCGTTACGCCCGTACACCGGACGAAATGACCAATAGCTAGAAGGTCTCAGTCTAAGCTCGCCTCTAAGAAGTTTGAACGCTAAGATCAAGTCAGCTTCTACCCTTCTGTAGAAAAGACTCTTGAGGTTCAACTCGCGCAAACGAATCTTATAAGGGGGTAAATTTTGCGGATAGCCTGGGTCAGGGAAGGCGCGGTAATAGAGCACTCTAGTAAAAATCCTCTGCACATTTTCGATTTTATTAATCTCTTTGGAACGGTAAGGGCTCCATACAGGACCACAGTATTCAAGTAATGGCAGAACGAACATTTTGAAAAGCTTGATACAAAGAAAAATATCCGAGCTCATCACATTTCGAAAAAGACAATGCAAAACTTTCAAACCCTTGGCCGTCACTGCGTCAACATGGTTCTCAAAATTCAAGCCCTTGCCGACTAGAACGCCAAGATCCCGCACTTCCCTGCCCGCTAACATGTTTCCTAAATCATCGTTACAAACGCTCAATGTAAGCCAATAGGGAGGTGCTGACTTTTGCGAAAATTGAGTTTGAGATTCCAGAAATTGGTCCAGTGCAACATGCGTTCGACAAATTCAGTCAACGCCATCAGAACTGCCTCTTTTTCTGTTTCACTATAAACCGCAGTGACTTTGATGTCATCAGCGTATGCATGGACAAAAATTCTCGTTTCGTTTTTAGGAACGCAGGTAAATCATACGTATAAATGAGAAAAAGTATGGGCGACAGTATCCCTCCCTGCGGAACGCCCGATAAGCATTCCCTAGAGTAAGAAAAATCTTGAGAGAAGCGCACTATCATCTTTCTGTCCGTGAGATAAGAACAGAACCAATCTAGCAGATTGCCTTCTATGCCTATACGCCGCAATTTACCTAAAAGGCACTCGTGACAAACAGTGTCAAAAGCTTTACTAAGGTCAAAATAAACTACATCTACACCTTTCCCTTCACCTAGTGCCTTATTCCAAAGATGCAAGCAATCTATCAACTGTGAGCAGGTGGAGGATCCTGCTAAGAAACCGTGCTGTTCTATGGGAATAAGGTTCAAGTAATCTAACCATTCGAACAGATGTTTCTCAATGATCCTCTCAAGAACTTTTAGTGATGCAGGGAGGATACTGATCGGGCGGTAATTGGTGACAGTGGTAGACTCTTTCCCTTTTGGGATCGGTGTCACCACTGCAGCTTTCCAAGGTTTAGGTACCTCCCCTATCATAAGAGAAATGTTGAAAATGTGACTAAGGCACCCGCCATACTTGATCCTCTTGATCCGCTTAATCCACTTGATCCGCTTGATCCGCTTGATCCGCTTAATCCGCTTCATGTAAAACGCGCGCACTCAGCAGTCTGTCATTTGGCGCCGCGTAGGTAAAAAGCAATCTCGTATGGTTAGAAGAACTTAAATGCTGCGAAATGGCCGTTATCATTGGAGCCCGTTTTTGATCTGGGTCTTGCATTTCGCCTAGATTCCGACGAGCTGCAGTAGGAAAAGGTTCCTTTGTGAAGTGTTACTGCATACATATGGTAGTCCCCGTCCAGAGATGAGGAATTTTCCAACATGCTGTTTACGATTGTGATATCATATGCGTTGGAATAGTGATCTTGCTCAGTTAACGTGAAGCATGCTTTAGCAACGCGACTTCGAAAGGTGATGTCAAGGATAATCAAGGTCAAGAGAAAAAGTCTGATAGTGCAAATTTAACACGATAATTGTGATCAGTTTGTCATATAAGACCCTACCCTTCGCGAAACCGAAATCTGAGATTATAAATTTCTGTGTTGTATAAAGTGGAAGAGTGCCGCTCATTCCTTCGAAGTCATTCGTGTAAACGCTTCCTTGTCTAGTGGTGGGTTTATTCACCACATTTTCCTGTCTGCATAGGATTGCTGAATGGATCACCAAACATGCGTTTACTTTGGTTTTTCTATTATTCAAATCGAACAATGAACGGAACGGTCAGAAACAGACAGAACACGTCCTAGAATATGGTTAGATGGCATGAAGTAAAGCACCTGATCTACAACAAATGATAACGTAGCAAGTCATGTCCACAAACATAATGAGCACGTTCAACCTAGAAAAAAGAACAACTTAGAGCCTAATAAATCATGGCAGTGTGGCACGTTGAAAAGATGATGACACAATCCTCATCGATATCCTCTACAATAAACGCTGGAGGAAGTTTTGCAGCACGATTTCGAGTGCTTCTCTGAAATAACAGATTGGCCGCCCTTTGTTGAGTTGATTTTCTAAGAAATAGGGTATCCCACCTTCATCAAATGCTCGATACTGGCCTGCAAAATTCCCTTTTGTAATTACTTGGTGGTATTTCTCGGTCGGCCTGGATGTCGCCAATCCCTTCTTTTAGGTAGTCCTTGGAAATTATTCAAACGATAATCTGTAATCGCATCATTTGCAGAAGCTATGTACATAAATCGGAAAAACCAACATGACCCAGTGCATTCACGTAGTAGCTCGTTGGCCTTCAACAACATTTGACCAAGTTTGGTCTTCACCCCTTCGGTACTTTGATTTTCTAGCTTGTGCGCCTCGATTGTAATAAGATCAAGTATCTAAATACAACACTCAGCAAGTTGATCATCTTGAGAAAGCACTTACGCTGTCCAGCTGAAATTTGAGTTCTTTACATCGTGTCGCGATATCCACTTGCGTCTCCGCGTTGATAGCAACCGGAACGGCGTCGAGCATTTGCTCGTCTTCAGGTATCAGAACAGTAGGTGACTGCGGTACTGCGGCAATATGCTGGCTTCACTCGTGGATGGGAAACTAGAAAGAAAAAGCGCTGAACAAAAGATACTCTAATAACCTTTTGTTAGAAAAACACAAAGTTTTGAAGATAAAGGGAATGCAGATACAAACTTGGGCGCTGTTCCCAGTATCAGGGTCTCAAAAACTCCAAAGAGTGTATTTTGCCCAAACTCGGTCCAGTGGGTCATCGACCTGCTGACCACGTATATCCCACTCTTTTTGCACAGCATCATCAGATTCGGTGGTTCGATGGGGACGCTAGTGGCTCAAAACTACGATATGGCTAATTCTTGTCTGGGAGGGTTGTTCGACATTATCATGGATACCTACGTTTTCTGCTCAACCACGTCATCCTTGGTGGTGACCGTAACTTTACCGTATGCAATGAAGTCAAAAACTTGGACAAAACTCACTTGGAACTTGGACAACGACAAAGTTCTGGACAAAAATTCAGGAATATCAAGGTTTAATTACAACCGAGTTTCGGCAGTGATAAGCCGAAATTCGGTTTCGAGTACATTCAACTAGTTATTTTCCAACAACGTTTTTTTGCAAAAAAGCTAAGATGACAAGTCTATTTGGCTTGTGAGAATGGTGGTCTGGTGATGTAAAAGAAAGTGAGTCGAGAACACAAACTCCTGATTGAGCCTCTCGTACACCATCGTAAACACCCAATCACGTTTTCAAAGCATAATGTTTCGACCAGCATGGTCAACATCCCGATAGAATGAGCAACAGCGCCGAGGACTGGCCATGCCTTGCCACTTTTTCGACAAAAAAATAAGTTAACATACCGGTAGTGTCTGATGCTCTCGTCCAGCTTGTTTTTTTCCACGTTTAGTCGATCCGACAGAGGAACGCCGCTTCTACCGGACAATTTTCCACAAGAATTGCACTCTGGAAAGTGAACAATATGAAACAATTACAGAATGACAAATAACGAGCAAAACCGAGACAGTAGAGAACATCTAAAAGGTGAAAGGTCCACGATTCATGCAAGGAAAAGAACACATTTACGAAACTGGAGCACAACGCGCGTTAGCGCCAAGTTCTGAGATAAAAACGCGCTCCAATGATAACGGCCATTTCGCAGCATTTAAGTTCTTCTCGTATGGTTGAGCAAATTCGCTGTACGTGACGCCAAATGACAGACTGCCGAGTGCGCGCGTTTTACACGAAGCGGATTAAGCGGATCAAGCGGATCAAGCGGATCAAGTGGATTAAGCGGATCAAGAGGATCAAGTATGGCGGGTGCCTAAGGGGAACGGAGAGATGGGTGGGAAACATTTTGCAAAAAAAACCTGCGGTATGCCGTCAGAAGTAATCGACTGTGACGTTTTCAGGGTTTTGATTTGTTTAGCAACCATTTCGGGAGTGATAATAGGCAACCTTAGGCTTTCATCAGTCACTTTCGCCAGGTTACTTCTGCATTTCATATGGGAAGTAAAAGTACTGCGAAAGAAACCAGCAAAAGCCTCCGCTTTTTCAAAATCTGTACTGCAAAAAGATCCATCCTCACATATGAGCACTGGGTAAGAGACTGACCCGCTTTGTCCTGTCCTTGATACAAGAAATGATCCCCTTCATGTATTTAGTCTTGGCGAGCAATCTTGTTTTGAATTACATAAACTTCTTCAAATTGTGCTCAAGGTTCTGACTGACAGTTTTGAAAGTTACGCAGTGCAAGGGGTCACGAGATTGTTTAAATATTCTTTGCCTTTGTTCAAAAAGATTTCGAATGTGGTCAGGATACTCTTCTAACCCCTGCCTGCGAGTTTTCCGTGGTACATATTGATCAATGATTCCATGCATGATACGAAGAAAACGGGTGTAGGCATCATCAATGTCCAAAAAATCATCGAAAACCTCGAACCAGTCAATAGAAGATAAAATAGATTTAATCTGATTTATTTTGGCATGATTGAAATCCAAATAAGTAGTATCAGCCAGCTCCCTATTAGGGACCGACAGAGAGAAGCCAACAATGTTGTGATCAGAATTACCCAAAGGTGGGTGCAAGGAAAAGTCTTTAAGAGACTCCGCATTAGTCAAAATAACGTCTAACAAGGGAACGATCCCAACTTAAGGTGGCGAATTGGAATAAACCGCATACCATTAGATGCGTCTTGATGAGCTGATTCCAAATCTACCTTCCGTATCTGCGACAACGTTATCTGGAAGAAGTTATGAAAGATTAAAAATGTGAAGTAACGGGGGTTTTGATGCATAATTTGCTTTAAAATCCAACTTGGAAGTGCACGACTAGCATCATATTGAGTGTACTGATTTCACGGAATGCTCACATTCAAAAGAAATGCAAATAAATGTTTTTGAACAGCTAGAAAGCAAATAAAGCTCTTTGGTAAAAGCTATGAGCAATGAAAAGTCCAAATTTGGCAAATATACAGCGCAATACCTCGAAAATTAGTTGTTCAAAAACACTTATTTGTGTTTCTTTAGAGTGTGAGCATTCCTTGAAATCAGTACACTCAATATCATGCTAGTCATACACTCCCAAGTTGGATTTTGAAGCGAATTATGCACTAAAGCCCCCGTTACTTCACGTTTTTAACCTTTCATAACTTCTTCCAGATTACGTTGTCGCAGATATGGAAGGTAGATTTGCAATCAGCTCATCAAAACGCATCTAATGATATGTGGTTCATTCCAATTCGCCGCCTTAAGTTGGGATCGTTCCCTTGTAATATTCGCTCCCCTCGGGTAGGGAAACGAACATGTTGAAACATATTCAAGGAATCAAAGGTAGAAAGGAAATGTCTTGAAATCGAATTCGCAGCAGTATTGTTGGACCAGTCAATATCCAGATTCAAATCTCCCGCCAGAATCAATATTGATTTGCAAGAAGATACAAGATCAGATATCAAGGACAGAAGCAGGTCATCCTGCCTCGCAGTGCTCGAAGGGGGTCGATAGGTCAGGATGAATCGATAATCATTCACAGAGGAATCATGACATATGCAATCGAAACAAGGAAGGTCTGCTACGAGACCCTTGAGAGAAAACGTGACTTCTCTAAAGAGAATGGAACTGTTGATTAAAGCACACACACCTCCCCCCTCCCTTCTTTCCGATCGATCTTTTCTAATCAATGTGTAAGGCAAATCTCCACAAATCTCGCCGTCAGCAACATTTGAAGTCAATCATGACTCGGTAAGCAATACAATGGCTGGCTTCGATTCGGAAAGAAGGTGCTGGAGTTGTGCAAGATTATTTAATAAACTTCTAGCATTAAGCAAAAAACCTCCCTTGCTAGACGAGTTCATCAGTTTTTTGAAGCATTGACACGAGAAGGAAGATCTACTACTTTTACAATTTCACTTTTATAAAGTACATAAGTTCGCTTTCCTTCTTTGGCGTTGGGATCACGAACTGTGGCGCGCAATTCTTTTTCGCGAAGCCTTTCATCGGTCATTGATTTACGCACAAAAACTTTGCTAAGATGAGAATCGCTTTCAGGAATACCATAGAATACTACTGACCTCTCTCGTTTTTCGGTTTCAAGAAACTTGGACGATAAAGAAGGAAACCTACCTACGAACTTTTCGAGGAGAGGCACATCTTCCGGGGCTTTTTGACTGATTATGCCGTGAATCTGATCCAGAACTTCCACGACATCGTCATCCATTAGGGGGGCGGCACAAGGAACAACCGGGGATGAGGGCTTTCTTTTTTTCGGTAGCTGGGATGGAGTGGCCGGCATTTTAGGGAATCAATAGAGTATCGGCCGCTCAGGATGACCGCACGTAGTTGAATACAATATCAATTTTTGAAATCTCCATTACTTTTATCGATTTTATCGATTTTCTGCAAAGTTCAAGCTACGGGACTGGGAGTTGGCACAGTGGGGTAACTGAGCATGCTGATTACGAATGTAGTAGCTGTCTGTGAGAATAACATTTGTTTTTTTAGAGCCTTGGATTAGAAAGATGTAAGTTGGTACTTGGTTTTGCTGATTCAAACGAGGTAATTTTCATTTCTTTATCAATGCATCAAAATATTTCTCCATCTGGGAATGGATTTTGGTAAGGGATAACCGAGTGCGCTGATTACAAAACAGCCTCCCCAAAATAATTCGAGTGCTAATGCCACGATCAAACGTATTGAAAGAGTAAACTGATCATTTAAAATCGCAACAATTTTGATTTTTTGGCGAAGTCTGGATTTTAAGATTTTTTGGCGTATTCTGAAAAATGTTTTACTTATGAAACACTCTTTTAAATTTCAGGTTTCAATAGACCTAGACAAATTGTTGAATTTTTGCATGCACACATTGTATATGTGGGTAAACATACATGAATATTTTGAGGAAAAAACCGTTTTTCCAGGGGTTTTTTGAATTTATTGGAAGGAAATCATGATGGCTTCGAATGAGAAGGAGAAATAATATTTGAGTAGCACCGCTGGATTAATCATCAAAAGCTAGCATATACGTATTTTTGACGCAAGATCCCAGGATGTCTCTGAGACGAGATGCAGGCATTTTTGATCTTATATATAAAGCTGAATGTCTGTATGTATGTCTGTCGGTATGTATGTATGTATGTACGTATGTTCCGAATAGAAAATTTCATTTCTGTACCGATCCGGACCAAACTTGGCACACATACACATGGGCCCCGGCGGGTGTCTTAGGCTACTTTTCGTCATCGATCAATATCGATTTTTAACGATTTTTTTGCTGAGTTCACCTACGGGGCTGGGAGTTTGCACAGGAGGGTAGTCGAGCATGCTGATTACGAATACGGTATTAGGTTTTGGAATTATCCATTAGTTTTATCGATTTTATCAAGTTTTTTGTAAAGTTTGACTTGCGAGGATGGGAGTTTGCGCAGGGAGTAATCGAGCATGCTGACTACGAATACAATATTAGTTTTGAAAATCGTCCATTACTTTTATCGATTTTATTGATTTTTGCGAAG